TTGGGTGCTGATTGGCTGTGAGTCTACTTATAGAAGGAACATATCTTTGGTGAACGCACTATAGTGTACGTTACATGTGAGGTCATCGAGGGAGGTGCGGGATGTTGCAGAGTGCAGAGTGGGTGTGGGGAGTGTGGTGGCCTTCACCAAACGGCGTGGGGGGCCCTCCACACACTCACGATCTGGGGGGGCCGGCTCAGGGGGGGTCGTGGGAGGGGGGTACACCTGTAGACCACCTGTGGGACCACCAACCACACACCACCCACATTACTACCTCACCCGCACACAATTGAACAATTACCTTGCTCAAGGACCTTTGTTCACACCCACAGAAACTAGTTTCAGCTGAATTACATTAAATTGGTAACTTGACCAACAGCTTACAGCTAGTTGTACTCTTCCTCTGGGGTGATGAAGGGTTCTTGAATTTGGAAACTACTGATCAATGACTCTGGGGGGCAGGCACTCCCTTACTTTTGCAATGAAGGTAAAGTATTGACCAATAGAACATGAGATCAACTAAAGACAAGGAACACTGTAAAGTAATCCAAGTGAAGCCAAAGGGCTGCAGCACCCCAGGGTTGCAACTTTCCTCTACAAAGTCGCCTTCCAGGTTTGATATACAGGGACGATAATCAGACAAGTCCATGAGCAGATTTCAAAAGGAAAACACTAGACTTTCCTCATGTCTATGTGAGGCAAGTTAATCTGTTCTTACAGATGCTACCTCCAAACCCAGGTCTCCTGAGGGGATAGACAACCCTGCCCTAGGAGAGATGACAATTAAGTTTGATTTCTGACATCCATTCCAGAATGCTGACATCTACAAGAGGAGCTCCTGTCTTATACAGCCTTATCTGATCTTAACATTTCTTAAACAAGGTGGACTATTCATACAATCATATTAAAGACTTTAATTGCAAAATTTTATACTGTAAATGCCATTTCTAATTTATGCCATCAAGAATACAAAAGCAATAAACATAACCTGATACATACTGGCATAAAACAAACCCTGACAATTTCTTTGAAGTTTGTCAAGCTTATATTGTAATTAAAGGAATTCACTTCATTATTAAAGCACATTTTTTAAATATCTCACATCACCAGTGATATCCAGGGGCACAAATATAGCAAATTCTCTTTCCATTATTACTGCTAAAGAGTTCTCAAAACACATTTTGGATTACATATCAATCCTCCAAAAGCAAAGAAAAATTAACATACAAAATTATCCCAGCTACAGGGTTCAAAGATTGCAGCATATTCTTAATGCATTGGTGCTAGGTACGTCTGCTGACCACCATAGTCATGTTTTATTATTTTTGTTATACACAGGGTCCATGGCTTCAAAAGCATTTAGTCAACAAAGAAATCAATTGCTAGGCCTATCTGACCTCACCTGTTTGTCCCATCCCTTTGACTTTTTGGGGAAAAAAACATTATTAGTATTATCAACATAATGTTTTTATCATCTTCAGATTCATCATCATAATAATTATATAATCTTTTTTATTATTATAATTATTATTATTATCAGCAATTACAATATTAACACTTTATAAGAATTCAGGGAATAGGGGAAGTGAGTGTAGTAGGTAGGGTTAGCAATTGACTCCTTGATGACTAAGCACTTCTAAACCTATCTATATGTAAACAAAATACATAAAGCAACACCTCATTAGGCATTGCATGCATATATACGAAATTATAAATATCAATGGTTACGGTTCTTACAGCAGCTACTTTTAATATAAACAAATAAATGAAGTGGGTAATAGTGTCAGGGCTTGCTTTAACACCTCAAAGGATAATGACTGTCCATCTGTAAGACAGCATCCAAAATTAAAATCTTTGATACAATTTTTCATGTTCTTTCTTTTACTCCTCTGATCATGGTACCACCATGCTTCTGTCTTTCAAGTAAGTAATAATGTCAATCCATAATAAGTTCATCATAGGAACACATAATACATTGTTTGCTCAACTTGAACTGTCTAAACAAAGCATTTCTTAGTCCCAACCTCTTTTTCTGTTTTGAATCAGTTTTGTCAAGAGGATGTATGTATGGACTAAAGTTCAAATGTTGTGTGATGTAATTTATGTATGCTATGACTTTAGCTGCAGTTGAGGAGGAGGCTTACCTATAGCTGAAAAATTGGATTCTGATCTTCAAAATGTGAATCATATCAGCTTTAAACCCCCTATGATCATTATACTTCCCTCATTTTTAGTAGTATGTCAGCAAATGGTATCACTCTCAAACAAACATGTTGTATCAAACATCTAAGACTAATCATCTCCTCTTTAGTTAACTGCCACCTGGCAAATCTATTTTTTTAAAACCAACAAGAATCAACAAACATCACAGCTCCACTAACAACCACAATCATGTCAAAAAAGGTTTACTTATGGGAAGCAAAGGAATTCACCTGATAAACTTAAAGAACCTTTCATCCTGTGATAAACCATCTATGTAGCAAGCAGACAATTTACTCATACCCACCAAAAGTAATAACAATAACTTCTGCAGTTTTGAACTCCAGCAAATTCCAACACAAATACTTGAGACATGAACTGTTGGCGATGAACTGCAGTTTTATAGAGAATGGGTACTGAGTGATGGAATGGGTTATTCAAATGATGAGTGTCTGTTAGCATAGTTGTATAAATGATATGCAAAAATAACAACAATCATCCTTATATCATTTTTACCCTACTACATTCATGTGCATTACTGCTTAAGAGCAAGAGCCAAGACCTTGATATGAAAACACTTCAGATCTCAAAACCCCACCAACCAATACAAAACCTAAATCACACACCACACAAGAAATCTGGAGTAAATTGTGAAGCTGCAAAGTACCGAGGCTAAGACCAAGCAAGGATTTGCTTGTTGAGCATGACACAAACCAAGTCAAGCTTGCAAATGGGGTGATGATGCATACCCATTATTACAAATTTTCAAACCAGAAAGAAAGACAGAAGCATAGAGAGATAAGTAAACGGTCTCTCGAGAAGACACCAATCTTCTCCATTCTCATTATTTCCATTTCTTCCCTATTCCCAACAACAAAAAAGCATTCTCAGGATGGTCAACTTATATCAGGCTACATAAACCAGAAGCTTCTGGTAACATGTGCATTCCTATCATAGGCAGATCATAGTTGTACAGCAGTCTGGAGTTTTATTGAAGTAATGAATGATACTTAATGTACCTTCTGTGATGCAAAATTGTTAAAAGGGCAATACACTGACTAAGAAGGGCAGAATCTGCAATCTGGTTAAAATACATACTTTTTTTTTTTTTGCAAGGGGGAACAAAAAAATGTCTGTTACCTTCATGCAACAGATATTCTTAGTAACAATCTGGGAAAAATTGAGTGTTTAGTTGATTAGTTTAGGGATACTGAAAATCCTGGAAAAAAAAGACACCTTAGACTCCTCAAAATCTGAAATGGCTATAAATTATTTTAATTCAAATCTAGGTTCAGGCCCATGAAAAAATACCAGACTGTTAAAAAATATATATCAGAAAAGATTTCAGATCATAAAAAATATCTAGTATGTTTTCATTAAAAAATATCAATGTATAAATCATAAAAAATAATTTGTCCTCGTACAGATGTGGTTTTCTGTTTTCCATAAGCAAAAGCAGCAGATATGTTTGTTTTTTCTTTTTTATGTATAAAGCTTCCTGAATTTCTCTATTTATTTATATATTTATATATATATATATATATATATATATATATATATATATTATATATATTGTATGTATATATATATATATGTATGTATATAAATATGTATATATATATATATATATATATATATATATATATATATATATATATATATATATATATATATATATATATATGTATATATATATATATATATATATATATGTGTGTGTATATATATATATATATATATATATATATATATATATACATACATATCTGTACTTTAATATCACTTTGCAATCAGATATAGATAATAATATCATTCCCCCCTAAAATGATGTTATGCCCACACAACATTACAACTAAGTATTTCACTAAGTATAGAATTACCCTAAAATGCCCTAATAATCAAATGAACTAGAACTGTTTATAAAATTCAAAATAAAAAGGAAAATTTCCTGAATGTGTTGAACATTTAAGGCATAGCCAGTGACTATTTAGATTTTCCCAATAACTTCCATCATAATAAAAAAAAATAAAAACCTATCTTTTAAAAAAATCAACTATGCAAAAAAATAGTAGAAAACCAACCATGCAAACATAAAAATTACCATGCATATACAAAGAATGCAAGTACTGTTTGGTACTATTTAAAAAATTATACCTGCTACTCCAGACCATTACAGCCAAAAAATTCATGCAGTTCAAAACATACCAGCCAATCTAAAGTGATCAAAATCCCCATTTAATGGAGCTACCTCAATGGGGACAGACAAACATTGCCCATGATGTCCTGATGTTTTTGCTCTTCACTGCCTTAAACAGAATTCATTAGATATTTCCAAACTTAAGAAAACAAAGATTGCTTACGCTTTTACAGCACTGTCCCGAAAGATAAATTTGTGATTTTTCCACAAGGTTTCATGAATTCCTTTTGTCATATACATACCATAAAAATTTCTTACATGTCTGTAGGTAGCTTGCAACAGGATAATAATTACAATAACCATCCTTCACTACACCACACAGTTTCACATTTTAAGTCATATCCTTTGAAACAAAATTCCTCTTAATAATTCCAGTATACATATTCAAAAAGAATTAATCATTACACTATACTCATTTTCTACAGTTACACTGCTTTGAGTTATCTAAGATACCTCCTACAGATTTATCTCTAAAATCACGCATGCACCAGGGCACAGGTCTATCCCCATAATGTACAGCAGCAAACCAAAATAACTGTTTTATAGTGACAAGCCAAAATAATAAAGTGTGCCATAGTGTAAGAGAGCAAAAGAGGATATTCACCCCTGTCCACACGTTCTCGTATCATGAGGTAGTCTCGGTCAGAGGCCCCATGGTCTAGCGTCAAACTCTCTGCCTTAAAGAACTGGTGTCTAGGGGCGGGCTGGGGTTTATTCATGTCATGGGGTAAGGTGCGTGGAGCAAAAGAATATGGGGGAGGGGGACGGTCACGCTGGGATGGGGATGCAGCCCCATCCCGTTGGTTGTACTGTCCCCCACTCCCACCGTCGAAGGAGTGGTCACGTGTGACATAACTATAAGGTGGTGGAGATGCCGAAGGAGGTAGGGGTGGGTATGGTGGCAAGGGGGGGTACGTGGGCTCCAGGTCAGAGGGTTGGGTGGAAACCTTGGAGCGGGAAGACACAGTTGTGGGCAGAGATTCTGTGCTCGGATATGATTGACGGAATAATTCTGTAACGAAGAAGAAACCTAGCATTTGCATTTGTGTGTGAGGACACATCATTGGACAACTCTGACTGCTATCAATTACTGTCTCATCATATTACATTACTACACAACACTCAATCTGAAAAATAAATCACATAAAAGAATGTTAAGTTGTGGTGTACAATGATTAGTAGCTGACCAGTGACATTCAGATGATACACCCCCCTATTTTCATAAAACTATGCAACAAATATACCATGTGCTTTCTGACATGCAAACCAGAAGCAGTAGTCTAGAAGTGCAACATATTCATCAATATTTTTCTTTGAGTATATATTATCATCAAACGCAAACCTTTGGTTAAACATAGAATATCATCAGTGACTTGTAACTTGGTGCTCAAAGTATTCAATGATGTTTCATTATTATTCAAGTTTCACTTACAAAATTTTCTATTGATCCCACTTCCACTTTAAAGAAGTGAATATATGGATGCTTTTATTAAACTTCCCTTGCTTGTTACTCATGCTACTACATCCTTTGGCGATGTATTCTCTTCCTGGAAGTCTTTTCACTCTGGTCTACAGAGATAATATTTCATACAAACTTTTGTATCATACTCCAAAAGCCAAATATACAATGTCATACATATTTTTAGGTGTTCACAAGGTGAATGAAGTATCTAAAAACATTGAACAGCTCTCCTGTGATTGATTTACAGAATGAGGCTACAGTACAATTGTTACAGGAATCAATATTGGTGTTTCTACATGCAAAGGTCCTGTCATAAAATTTAGATCAATTAAAATCTAAGAAGTCTAACAATCCAAGACAAATAACACGTTTTCAGGATTTGTTGGAGAACAGTATCGTCATTCTACTGGCTGCTTGCTTGCTGGTCTCTGTCACCCAGTGCAAATGAAATGGTCTTGTGCAATAAGTCACCTGAATCAAGTCAAACCAAATGCGAGTCTTGCTTAGTCATATCAAAAATAAAAATAAAAGAATGGGTAAGCTTAGTCATTAACTCTAGAACTATCTGAGAGTTGCTTAAAAGCCATGCTTATTTACGATTCCCGACTAATGTTTCTAAAGCTTGTTCATCTACGATTTGTGATTATCTGAATTCCAGGAATGCAAATCTTATAACAAACAAACAATATTATGGTGGATGGTTAAATGTGATAATCAACCATTTTACCAATTACATCAGCTTCTGGGCACATGGCTGTCCTTATGAGGGAATTTACTTTCTATTTAAAACAATTATTGTAAAACATTTATCTTACAATACTGATTACAATGTCTAGGTTTATGAAAATTACACAATAGTAGTCTGTTTAAACATCTAATGCTATAGTTTTCACATCAAAGATAAATCAATTACTACCACAGCACATTGCACACTACCAGTGAATATAAAAAGAAATAATTATTGTAAACTATTGCTCACTCTTTATGAACTTGTTTCCTATATTTATATCCATGTTCCAGAACCTGCATTAGAATACACTAATATCAATATGAGTGAGCTTAGAAAGATTAAACAAATTTTTTTATGTAATACATAAATAACTCTTAATATATACCAAATACTTGAAGGCATCATACATCCACTAAACAGGAATGACACTGTTAATCCGTAGCAATATTTCCTAAGATATTCATAATCTGGATCCAAAGTCAAGGAAAGTGTTCTCTGTTCTTGCAACTATCAGCATAACCATTGTAACATCATGGTTATAGCCACAATGAGGAAATAATCCTTGCTGGTAATTTTTGCTGAATTACCAGGCAAATAACTAATTTGTTGATTTCTTAAAAACTATAATTTGGTTTTATATAAGTGGAAATATATATCAATTGGAAAGCTAAATCGAAGATTAATTTAGAAAATGGAAACTAGACAATCACTCTAAAGCAGACAATCATATGTAAGGAAAATTAATGGCACTAGCAGGAGTGGAGCCTGGCACAATTAATTAAGCTTTAAGATATAAACAATCAAAACAGCCATGCTATAAAGCTAGTGTCCAGCAACAATGATCAAACAATCAGCCAACAGCAATGTTGCAAGAAAAATATAAAGCTCATATTCATTACCTATACCTACTACTTATGATCCCAAGCAGAAAAGACTGAAATATATATATATAAAATGCTATCTACACATTCCTTCCTGACATAGTGACAAACAATTTTTCATAGAAGCAACTCAAATACATACACAAAATTAATACACTTTTTCACTAGTTAAAAATGTATGAAAAAATAAAAATAAACATTGTAAATAACAACACTAGCTATACAGATCCTATTCGTAAAATGCCATAGAATCTTTTCTCCCCTATCCTTCACTTTTCCCTGGCCCTTGTGTAAAGATAAAAGTGTCCTGACAGCTCCACCTTCTTTGTTCAGTTACCGAGAAAATGCTTGCCATCTTAACATATTTACAGCCTAGTACCTATCTGATGCTCACGAAGGTAAATTTGTCCAGTAGCACTGCTTTTTTTGTATCTTTGTACACATAAAAAAATAATTAAATGTTGGTTTGTTTACAGTTGTACAAGGAGAGATCAAGTACCAAGATGAAACAGATAGTAATGTCTGTTCTTAAAACATATTTGAGGAAGAAATAGGTCTGCCATTGGGAAACTTGATGAAATATAAAAATCAATTTAAGAACTTTAACTTAAAGATTTGTTAAATAAAACTGATGAAGAATAAGGTAACCAAAAGTTAATAATTGGTAGATATAAGTGGTTATACTACACTGATATAACATATTTGTCAGCTTTGTTCACTATAATCTTAACCCCTTAATGATGGGCGAAGAAAATTTTTAAAAACTCTACGCTCTGGAGATCAATGGCAACGCACAGACTTTGAGCACAGGAATTCAGTGCATCAAGCCAAACCACCGGCTCATAGCGCATTCGCTTGTCACCACGGCGTACAGCCGCACTCCACAGATCGTGCAGTTTGTTATGACGCCTCAGGGCGTGACCCGTCGGGAAGGGATTAAGGCTATGTTCATAACATAAAATGATCCAACAATGCCAAAAATTAAAGCATTAACTGCATATGGGCAGCCATTGTAACAGTTTCAAATTACAAAATGAGTTATATTTTCTGGGTATATGCTTTTGTATTAAGTACATGCTCATAGAAACCAATAAGAAAATTATCCAAATATAGCAATTATTAATATAAAAAAAATCTGAATCCAGTTTCTATTCTGCTAAGGATCACACAAATGTGAGTTTCTTAAAAAATATAAAGCACAGATTCTGAAGTCCCATAACTTCTTTGCTTATATTCATCAAATTTACAAAAATATTAACTGACAATACTGTTTTTACAACTTAAATAAATCTCTGCTTATACAAGCAAGCCAATTATTTCATATATAATGCATATTTTCTCATTTGCATTGAAAATCTGTGGAATTATTTAAGCACATACACACTTATTAGCTTGTAACTTTTTACAACATGAATTATTTATGTGTCTGAGTTGTGCTTCAAAGTCAAAAAGATGTGAATTTTTCATAGTTAGGGTAGTTTCAGATAAAGAAAAAGAAAAAAATCAATAACAAAAAATTACCTAAAAATAAGAATAATTGACAAAAAAAAAAAAGGATAAAGTATGGGAAGAGGACCATATGCACAGTAAAGTTTATTATTAATATGAAAAGCAGACAAAAGTAATTATGAGAAAAGGAAATAAAGAATGTTTATACCTTATCAACAAGGTTCAATCATGATACTGTCAAAACAATGCACGGGGAAATAAATTAATAAGAAATCATATTACATGTACATAAAGCGACAAGACCTTATAGTTTCAGAAAATGTGAAAGAGAGAGAAGACTGACTTGTACTGAAGTGAAACAAACTTGTATGTATGACAAGTAAAGAATGGTTCTGCTTTCCCCTATATTAGAAGAGGAATTTTGAATAGAAATATAAAAGTAAAAACATACATATTTGGGTATACATCCACACAGACACTCAGCAAAAGCATGTATTCATTTGCACTTAAATCTATGCAATTGCAAACACACATTTAACACTTCTATACATTTACAAACATATAGAAATACTCCAACAGACAGAAAAATGGAGAGAGACTAAGATACACTGAGAATGAGAGAGAAAGACAGACAAAGTAATAAAGATATGAACACCCACGCTTGCATATAACTATGAACACATGCGCACAATGCACACACAAACATACACATATATCCATAGTCACATCCACACACACACTATCACACTTACACATAAGAAAGACAAAGGCAAGGGAAAAAATTGCACAAACCTGTTTATACATACACGACAGTCAAAAATATATATATATATAAAATCATAAGCAGTTTACGGCACTAAATATTTAAGTAAATAAATGGACATTTATGTGAGCTATCTATTCAATAAGCAATCTAATAATACTGAACAAATAGAAAATGATTCTTCACTCACTGGCTGCTTACTGTTTCACCTCGATAACTGTAAGATCTCAGAAAGCTTTTTAGTCTATCTATGTACACAGACTCTTTTGGAGGTACCTACTGTATGACAATTGCATAGTCACATCTATCACTCCTCTAT